CTTGTGCTGTTGCTGTTGTCTCGCCCCCAGCAACTGCTGCTGCCATTGCTGCTGCTGTTTCTCCAGCTACTGCTGCTCAGATTCCAGCTGCTGCCTCTGCTGCTGCTGAGCCCGCCGCTGGTCTGTTCAGGTTGCTCCAGCTGCTCCGGCTCCAGTTCCAGCTCCAGCTATGGTTCCAGTTCCGACTCCAGGAGCGGCTCAGGCTTCTGCTTCGGCTCAGACTCAGGCACCAACTCAAGCTACGGCTTTGGCTCCTCCTCCAACTCCAACTCCAACTCCAGCTTTGGCTCAGGCTGAGGTTCCTGCAAGTCCGGTTACCACTTCTGGACCACTTCGTTTGTCTATACCAAGTGTGACCTGCAATCCAGACAAGACAGGTAATAATTCTCTGGAGTAGGTAGCTTTCAGTTCTGCCTTAAAAATACTGGTTTATCTGTTGTGCCTGCTCTTTAGCCTGGGTAGGTTATTAGGACTAAGGTTTTCATGTTTTAAAGGGGATTCATGGAGGAGGGAAGAGAAGAGACTTGTCTGTAATGAATTCTCATCAACCACGATGGGAAGGGACATGAGTAGAGGTCATTCTCCTTGTAGAAGTAAATGTGGGTGGGGTGTGGTAGCAGGCAAGCCTCACTTTGCCCTGGCCTTCATGAAGGCTCTAATGCTGTGTGTTTCTTAGAAATCTGAGTTTTTCCTGGGCCCATAAGTGTTGTCTAACCCCCTTTTTTTCCCATTTAGATGGTCCTGTTTTCCACTCCAATACTCTGGAAAGAAAGGCTCCCATTCAGATCCTGGGACAAGAGCCAGATGCAGAGTTGGTGGAATATCTCATCTAAATGGCCAAACCTAGAGCTGCAATTTATCAACAAGAATGCTTTTAATCATTTTCCCCTTTTGTTTGTTCTTATTTTCAGGGTGAGGACAAGGGTTGGGGGGAGGGGATATTTTTTAAAGGGACTTTTTATTGAAATAATATAGTGCTTAAATAATATCATCTGAACTCCAGTCTATTCTGGTATACTTAGGGAGTACCTTTAAAGACAGATGAATTAGAATGTGCTCTAAAGGTGATTGTTTAGATTTATATATTAATCAGAATGTGTTCTAAAGTTGATTGTTTGGATTTATGCAAATACTGGAACTATTAGGTGGCTATACATTGATGTTTTTAATGTGCTAAAATTTGTTTCAAATTTCCATATTCCAGGTCATTTTTTAATGAAGAGCACAGTATGTGTGGAAGACAGTCTGTAACATGTAGTTTGAAAGTGAGAAGCTGGAAAGAATTTGAGTGTTTGCTGTTTTATATAGTTATCATCTAGATAGCAGCCAGAGAAAGCTCTCACCTCAGGCTCATGAAAGGGAGTAGGAGTAGTTTTAGGAGCAATGAGATATGTAAGCTGGAGAAAAGCAAGAGTATCAAGGTGCAGATGGGCACTGGAGCTTATTCTCCTTCTCGATTTCCCAGCTCTTCTGCCCCAGGGTTTGCATTTATCTTCATTTCAGTGGAGCTTTGGAAGTGGAGTCCTTTGGTTCCCTCTTGGAGGTTCATACATTCATATGTATACTCTGGAGTAATTTATGCATTTGGATAATTAATATATTGCTTTCAGATGCTAGGAGAGTACATTAACTGAGTGATGCATAACTTCCTCTCTGGGAGTTAGGTATCAGAGGCCTTGATGTAGAGTTGTATGAGACACTGTGTACAGACATTTGTGATCTCTGTGTGGCCATGAACTCAGCTCCCTTGCCTTTTAGAAAAACAATATTGGCTTTGTGTTTATTTCTTCTATGGCACAGATTTCACTGACCAGATCACCAGTCTCGAATTGCCAATCATTTGCAAAGTGAAGAAATATTTCTCTTGACAGGTTTGAATGCTTTGGATTTCTGTGACCACTTTGAAATAACTCATTTCATTTTCCCAAATTCTTAGCATATGTCTTAAAGGAGTATTTGACTATCACCTCCAAGGGAATAAAATCAAAAGTCCAAAGTACTGTGCTGCAGTCAGGGGAGAGGTGATTGCAGAAGATAGTATCCTCAACTACCTCTTCTCGCTGCTAGTGACTCCATCTTGGAATATCTTTGGGAAGCAGTGGGAAATGTACATGTAAGCAGGAGCCAAAAGAGGCGATGGCACAAAGCCTTGTCTTGGGGCTGCCTCTGAGGACACAGGGAGAAGCTAATTCCCATGGGTGCCTGCCCTGTGTCACCTCTCTGCCCTTCATTAAGATGACAAGTCTACAGTGGCATTAAGATCAGTTTTCAGGGGTATAGTAGGATGAAGGGGGTGGGGGTGTTAGGCAAGGGTGGGTGGTAAAGGTTTGGGAATGTGTTAGTTAGAAACCAGGTTAATAGAAGACTAGGCCTGATATATTACTTCCTGAGCCATAGTGGTGGGAAGGAACTTGAGCAATCTAACCCTACCCCCTTGTTTGAGTGACTAGGAATCTGAGACCTGCAGAGATTTAGTGACGTTTTCAAGATCACACAGCACAGCTGGCCACTCTTCCAATACCATGCTTATTCTGGAAAACCTTTATATGTATTTGAACAAGCCTATTGTAAGAAAAGACATTTTCACAGTCTAGGGTATATTTATTTTCTAAAATGTCCTTGGCTTCAGTAGTTTGTTCAGGGTTCTGAATTTCTATCTTGCCCTTCCTATAGTGCCTTGTGCAAGGTTTCATTTTCTTGACCCCGCATTTCAACACTGAGTCACATGAAACATCCTCCTAAGAAGTCAACTCCACTTCATTTCTCACTGTGAGGTTGGGTGTCTCAGATAATCCCACAGGTTGCTTTGTGAGTATAGGAATGGTGTGTTTAACAGTAGTTAAATACTTACTAAGTTCCTAATTATCACCCAAAGGAATTTTTTTTGTGCGTGTGCCCAGGTGTATGTGGAGAGACTAGAGGGAGTATGACATGATTTCTAGTCAATCTTTTCACATTTTCTATAATGAAATGATAATCCACATTAGTCCTCAGTTATAATGAGAATCCCAAATAGAAATTTAAAGTAAAGTTGTGTTAATACTCATTCATTTTTCCTTTTAGTAATAAGGAGAAAAAAGAAACTTCAAATAGTAGAAGCAGTAAGTAGCAAACTTCAGGGGAGCTGCTTTCTAGCCAAATAACTAAATTAAAATAAACCTTTCATCTACTTCTTTCATGGTTATCACACATTGCCAGAAATTTTGCTGGGTCTGGGAGCCATGATTTTTATTACATTCTGTAAGGTGACAAATGTCGTACATTCCACATTGTGTGGCAGCCATCTCAAGATCCATGTGTTTTGGGGAACAGAGGAAGTTCTTGACTAAGTACTATTTTGAACTTTCCAGAACATCTCTGCCCTCTCACACCAGAGATAATTTGTCTCTGCTCAATTTTCAATGCCTGGTAATTTGCTAAAATAACAGTGTACATCTAGGAGATGGAAGAAGACCATGTCAGTGTATTATGTTTACGGAGAAGATAGATTCTGCCTTTTCAGAACATCTCTACTAGATGTCATGTTAAAAATTCAGGTTTGTGGGAGAAATCTCAAGTTAGCCACTTTTTCACAATTGTGTGGATACAATGTTTGGGGGATCTTTCTGGACTCCCACCTATCTATGCATTTTATTGGCACCTCAAGACAGGAGAGTGACCTTGTCTTAACTTGTACTGCCTGGTGGCCTCTGGGGACCTTCTAATTCAGTTGTACCCCAATATCCCATGTACAGAAAAACTTCATTAGAACAAACTTTACTTGATAGAAAACTCTTATTAATTTTTTAATTAAAAGTAGCTTAAGCTTTATTTTAAAATCATGTATCTTGATTATTATTTGAATGAAGGATTTACTTTCAATGCTGCTTTTGAGCATCAGGTTAACAGGATTACAGGAACCTGAACTATCTGCCATCATCTGCCACAGGAAACATACAGACAGGCTTGTCATGTTCTCTTTTTGTTGGTTCACTGTCAGGTGGGTGTAACAGTTGGGAAATGAACAAATTGATTGTGCAAACTGTTTTTAATAAAGAGCCTAAATACTTGTATTGTGGCAGCTTAAGGTGTATACATATGCACTAATGCTGATAAATTATATTCTCATGTCTGTTAGCCATACAATCTCTTGTTATCTTGATTGTTCATTCACATGGAACATGTTACTTAAAATGTGTGCATTCTTACTGAAAATGTTTTCAAGGAGGGCATCAGCTGCAGGCTAATTGCCACTAATTTCAGCCCACCACCATCCTTGGAAATATATCTTCCAAGTGTCATCCATCATCAGTATGACAAGTGTTGGGAGTTTGTTTATTTTATTTCCGGTTTCAACGATGGATTACATTGAGCCATCAAACCTCCTTCTGGCTTCCCTTGTGATTAATAGCATGTGTTTGTAAAATGGATAGCTGGGGTTGGCAGATGGCTAGAGAAGAATCATCTTTGATTTAAAATGTATGTGGTCCCATAATGATTATGACCCCATTCTGTAATCAACTGAGCTAGTTCAAATAAAGTTAAGCAGGTTTAAATCCACTTTGTGCCTATCTTTTCAGTGACAATAAAGTTAGCTATTTTAAAATGCAGTACCGTGTGGAAAATGCTTTGGTGTTTACCCGACAGAAGCTTTATTTGTGCTGTATCAGTGATTACTTTCAATTCACTATGCAAAAAAATTGCCTTTCAAGGGCAATGTGCAGCAGAATTTGCATTTGCTTGAAGTATGGAATGTGATTATAGATTATAAAGTATTAAGACAATGCCACAGGCCACATGCTCTAATCGGTCTCTTTATATAGTCAGGCAGCATATATTAAAAGCTTTGCATCTTTTTATCTCCTGGTCCCAAGGGATAAAATGATGGCCACCCAAAAAAGGGAATTCATCTATTGGTTAGCATTTCAGAAGGCCCCTTGATACTCCTTTTGTACTCTTGTTCTTATGCCAATCCAGCAGTTTTAGTTGAGTACTCCTTTTGTACTCTTGTTCTTATGCCAATTCATCAGTTTTAGTTCATGGAACTTGTTATTAAAAGCAAATCAAAACCACAAACAAGTTGGCTCTTTACTGAAAATGTTAAGGCTGACTTTACAACTGCCCTTTCTGTGCCTCCTTTTTACCAGTGAATTCCAAACCTGACTGGTAAGGAAAGGATCCAAAGGACTTCAAAATTACACACCTATTTTCAAGGTGAAATTTCCTTGACAGGTGTTGGAAAAGGGATAGGGCCAGAGGATAGAGTTCATTTGACTGGAGATCTGATTTTGTGTGTGTGTGCATGTGTGCATGTTCACATGCTATAGGGCATGTGCACTTGCTGGAAAGACAGAGGGGAAAAATGATAAATCACTACCCATGACCATATCACAGTCCCTTCTCCTCCATTCTCCTGTCAGATTTTGGGCAGGCGTGCACATGTGCCCAGTATGTTTTTCTTTTTTTGGAGAGGGTGTTTTTTTTTTTTTTTTTTTTTTTTGCTATAAGGCGCATGCGCTCACCAGACAGAGAGAGATGGAGAGATACAAAGCGAGAAATCACCCCCCAGGGGGGATGACCATGCCGCAATCCCTTCTCCTCCATTCTCCTCTCGGGATCTTGGGCACACATGCACATGCACCTGGCGTGAGTTTAAGCCACTGGGTCCGGGACGCGAACTGCGGTTGACTACGTGGGAGGCCAGCGACATAGCCATTATGCTAACTGCTGGACCCCCAGTGTGTTTTTCAAGTTTCCAGATCCAGGACTTGAACTGCACAGTTGTCCATGTGGGAATGCAACTATGTGGGATCCAGCCACATTAAATTCCATTCTACCTGCTGGCCCACAAATTTGATTTTTTCTAAATTGAGCATTATTCCCTCCATATTTATGATGAGTCCTTTGAAAACTGTGAATGAAAGTCCATACCTTTTTCAGAGAAGATGGCATTAGGTTAACCACTTTTTTACAAGCTTCGCAAAGCATTCCTTTCGGAATATATGAGGGGTGTCTTTAAAAAGTTAATAGAAAACATGCATTATGCAAAAACTATGTATGGCTTTCAAATTTTTTTGCACCAAAATAAGCTCATATAATTTCACTTGGCCCAGTTCTTAATGAGCAGTCAATTGTGGGAAGAAAATGCAAGGGTTCCTTCAAAAATGTATGAGATAACATTGTAGGAACATTTCTAGATATGTCCAGTAAAATAACTGACTTGATATCTGACACTTCATCTCTGTTCCTGTGTGTGCCTTCTCTAACGAGATAAACTATCTGTATAGCCCACGAGTTACACAGATGCAAAAAAAACATGTTGTGTTTTCTACCTCCATTTCCAACATATAATGCAGGAAGCTTGTCACTGGAAGGGAAAATGTCAACGGCTTGGCCTTAAAACACTTTCTATACTGTCTAGCAGTTGCCCTGAAATTTAGATGAAGAGCCTTGAGTGACAGGACTTAGTTAACAAGAAGAAAAATTATCTCCACACCATCACAATTTCATCCCACATTCCAAATACACCTTAGATGTACAAAGTGGCCAAGGCCAGGATATTTATTTTGGCCCCCATGTATTTTAATTTACAAGTCTCCTCTACTAATGGATTCAGGCATATGTGAGTTGTTGAATTTATTAGATGTTGTCATCGTGTAAAAGGCCCTGCATGTAAAATTTGAAAAAAAAAATACACTCCATGATTCTAGTTTATTCTAGGAAACAACACACATACAATCTGGATATAGAACTAGGCCAGCTGATGGTATGGTGGTTAAGGCTGCTGGGTTCTACATGGCCAACTGTGTGGTTTACATCCGGGACCTAGTAGCTTGAGAAACATATTAGGAGCATGTATGTGCATGCCCAAAATCCCAAAAGGAGAGAGAAATGGGGAAGGGATTGTGTCAGGACCATCTACCATGGAGGGTCCTTTCTCTCTCTCTCTCTCTCTCTCTCTCTCTCTCTCTCGAACAAATAAACATATCCTAAGGAAAATAAAAAGATACAGAACTAGTACAAGAAAGGGACTGTTGAGATAGCATAGACAAAGTCAGGAAGAGCTTAATTGGGTTTTGAAAGAAGTCTAACACAATCTGTTGATGGGATAAAGGTACAACAAATGGAGAAAAGGATGTGCAAATGTAATCTCACTGTCAGACCATCAAATTAAGACTGCTTCCAAGATCCAAGACCCTAGAGAACTGCTCTGATCTGTTAAGTTTCCCCCTACTGGAAACACAAATTCAATCAGGTAGTGGAATGTATCCATCTACCAGGATGAGCATGGAATTCTAGTACCATGAATGCCACTAAACATGTTTATGTGTGGGCAAGTTCCTTAACAGGATCAGAGAAGTTTTTAAATAAAATAGGGATAAATACCTGTCCCTGTGGATCTTCTTTCTTTTTTCCTTTTTTTCTTTTTTTGGAGAGGTTTTTGCTTATAGGGCGCTTGTGCTCGCCAGACAGAGAGAGACAGAGAGACAGAAAGCGAGAAATCACCCCCCAGCGGGGATGGCCATGCCGCAATCCCTTGTCTTCCATTCTCCTCTCGGGATCTTGGGCACACACGCACACGTGCCCGGCGTGAGTTTTAAGCCACCAGGTCCAGGACTGGAACCGTGGTCGACTACATGGGAATCCAGTGACATAGCCGTTATGCTAACTGCTGGTCCCTCCCTGTGGATCTTATGGAGAGGGACTAGGAGACCCTCACTGATGCCAGTCAAAACAATAAAGATAAAATAGTTTCTTTAGATTTTTGTTAAGGAAAAAGCAAACATACACCAAAACAGAATAGCTAGGGCAACTCCATGTACTCATTACTGGTCTTCAACAATTATCAATGCATGGCTCATATACTCCATTTACCATCCAACCTAATTTATATTATTCTGAAGACTATTCCAGACATCATAGCATCTTATACATAAATATTTAAGCATAAAGATGAAATTTTTAATAATGAAAAATATAAAGTGCTATACCTGGAACCAAAATATATTACCAACTGAACAAAAATAGCATGTTTATGCTTTGCCACTTAAAATTCTTCATATGATCCAAGAATGTCTGTATTAAGTGGAAACATATGGTCTCAAAAACAGATTCATTCTCTCATAACTCACCTACCAAAAGGCGTAATATTTTCTTTTATATTTATCTTTTTTCACATTTACTTATTTATTTATACATTTTCCCACAAACATATACTTTACATATAAAAAAATTTTGCTCATACTCCATAGTTTTTTTCCATTTATTTATTTATTTTTACATTTTTCCACTAACATTTACTTTATATATCAAAAAATTTTTGCTCATACTCCATAGTTCTTGACAGTTAATAAACAACTTTCAAAATTTCAAACTACTGAATTTTAAAGATAATGTTCAAAACATTTCTTATAATTTTGTAGAATTTTGTTTGTGACTCTGTAACAACAGAGACAATATGGTTTTAAATAGTTTTGAGAAAATATTTACATGTCAACTACTCAAATTGTTGAAAAGCAAATGTCCAGCAAACAAGTTAATCTTCAGGTACGACATTCCCATCAAAGCCCTGTCCAATAATGAGTATTTCCAATTTCTGATTCAATGCAACAAGCATTACTGAACTTATGCAAATAATCCTTCTGCCAAAAAATAAGAATACTCCTAAATATTTCCAATTCAAGAGGGGTCAGGAAGGAAGAAAAGGTTGTTTCCATTTTAAAAAAAACAAACAAGGAAAATATTTTAACAGATTGCTGAACCTATCAACAACTCAAAAGAAAGTAAAATGTTTAAATTTTGAAAACAAAGCATAGTAAAAAAAAGAAATCAGTAATGATTTACTCAAAAGTCATAAAATTCTATTTAATGATTTCAGTCTATGTTCAAAAACTATTCTGTTGAATGTGCAGTGTTACTGTGGTCTAATCTTTCCGTTTAAATCCTGGGAGTTAACATTCAACATTATTATTGATATTTCTTGTCCCTAGTATGAAATTTGTCATTTTCTTGGTTGCCTTTTGTTCTCTTATTTCTGTATGTGTCTTTAGTTTTCCTGGTATAGCACTCCTTTTAGAACTTCTTGAAGAATCGGTCTACTATTGGCAAATTTTTCCAGGTCTTGTTTATCTGAGAATGTTTTTAACCTTTCTTTCCATATGAAAGATAAACTTGCCAGGTATAGTATTCTTGTTTGAAACTGATTTTCACTTAACACTTTGAATATATTTTCTCATTCTTTCCTTGCTTGCATTGTCTCTGATGAGAGGTCTGAGGTTAACCTGATTGGATAATCTTTTTTTTTTGAGACGTTGTCTTTTTGTTTTTTTTTGTTTTGTTTTGTTTTGTTTTGTTTTGTTTTTTGCTATAGGGCGTGTGTGCTTGCCAGAAAGACAGAGACAGAGAGATAGAAAGCGAGAAATCACCCCTCAGCGGGGATGGCCATGCCACAATCCCTTCTCCCCCATTCTCCTCTGGGGATCTTGGGCACACACACGAACACACCCGGTGTGAGTTTTAAGCCACCGGGTTCGGGACTCGAACCATGGTCAACTACATGGGTGTCCAGCGACATAGCCATTACGCTAACTGCTAGTCCCAT